CATATATGAACATTACAGAGCTATTAAAGGAAGCAAATTCTGTGTGTGGTTTTTGTTTTTTAAACGAAGAAAAGGAGTGGCTCTCTTGAAAAAAGAAATGTCTTGGCATTTACCCATCTGGATGCTGCTTGAAAACAAACTGTCCTCCAAAGAACAGAAATACAGTATGTTTTCTCTCAGTTCACTGGCTTATGAATGACTTTTTGTTGTTGTTGTTGTTTTGTTAATACACACTCTAATGTCATTTTCTGTGTCAGTGATGTGCTTTTTCCTCCTACTCATCCAACTGTATAAAGGAGCTATGCCCATCAGACTTCCATGCTTATACTGGCTGATTTAAGTTCATCATTGCTGTTTTTTGTGGATCTATTCCAAGGCAATGTTTAGAACAACGCAGGAATTTTTTCAGGGGAGGGGAGTGTGGTAGAAAAGGAAAACAGCTACTTATTCCTTCTAAAAGACTTATGGAGTCCCTTTTATAAGGCTGAGTCATTAACAGAAGATGACAACAGAGTCGTTTTTTCTTTCAGCTGACAATTGTGACATTTTTCCAGCAGTGTGCAAGGTGTTGAAAACCTGGCAGCTGTTACCTCCTGGGATGAAGATACTTTTTTATCCTCCCTTGACAGTTTAACTCAGTGGGTCAGCACCTTTAAAGACTGCAAAGTATCCTTGAAGAGGATGGAAGCTTGAATTACTGCTCCCTCCCTAATCAATGTAAACCCTCACTGCAGGTGAAGTCTCCATCTATAGAGGTGCATGGGGGAGGAAAATGTAATGCCCTGAGCCAGATGGTTTTTATCTTGTTTTTAAAGAATAAAGGAACAAGCTAACAAGGGAGACAGCTACTTTGTTAGCTTCTTGGCCTCTCTCATGGCTTTGCATCCCCAGGGTTCCAGCTACAGAAGAGAAAGAATACAGGAAAACGTAAACACTTAAAGAAATATAACTAGAGGGCTGGCATCATGCTGCTTTCAAAGAGTTGAGAAAGCTCTACTCAATGCTTTATTTATCACTGCCCACGTTCTCAGGATGGTAAGTGGACACATACACAAAGGGAATGGGGGATGGGAAAGGGATTAGACAACGGTCACAATTTACTCAATTACAGAGAAAGGCAGGGCTGACAGATCCTATTAGCACCAATGAGAAGCAAAGAGTTGCACGTTGTAAATGCCACATTTTCAGAAAGTAATAAGTACTTTCATGTATCCTCCCAGGCCTTTGCACTTGATTGCAGATAGAAATAAAAGGCAGGAAAACAGTGGCTACACTGTCCTTGACTTCACATTTTTAGGAGTAAAAGTAAAACAAAAATTGTAGTCATTTTGTACATCTTTTAAATAAAAACTTGTACTTTTGTCAAGAAATGAGATTATTCTGAAACTAAGAAAATTAACTTTCTTTACAAGGATATACTACTTTACTTCCTTTCCCTACCCCACACTCTTCCACCTTCAGATGTTGGAAATGAAATGGAGAAGCAGGTAAGAGACACAGGGAATAGTGTCTTAATTTTCTCCTTCATTATTTCTTGTTCTAGTAATATCTTTGTCAGGTTTTGGAATTACTGTTAAGGTGGATTTATATAAGTCAAGAAGTGTTCTTTCCTTCTCTATTCTGCGAAAGGGTCAAAAAATTCTTATCATTTCTTTCTTAAATATTTGTTGAATTCACCAGTAAACCACATATGCCTTCTGATAGTTAAATTTTTTTAATAGACATAGGGCTATTCAAATTTTGCTTCACCCTGTGTTATTTTGGTAAGTTGTATTTTTCAAAGAATTCGTTCAACTTGCCAAATCTGAACTTGCCAAATTTGCACACATAAAGTTGTCTGTTCCTCCAATATTTAGACAGCTCTCCAAATAAACATGTAGTAATGTCCTATCAACAATGGCAAAACGTTATTTTTGAATAATATATGTAAACTATAATGTTAGTTAAAAACAATACTAAATTGCTAGAATATAACAACTTTTTATAGTCAATAGTGAAAGCGTTTCTGAAATACCATTAGAAATATCTGCAAAAGAATCTCAAGTTAATGAGATGCAAATCCTACTTCTATTAGCACTAGGTGTATGTAAGGTGGCCTTGACATCTTTTTGTCTATAGAAATTGACTACAGGAAGAAAACAAAAACAACAAAAATAGCAAAATAGTAATTGGCGCTCCATTATGTCAAATGCAACAGAAAAAAGGAGTTTAAAGAGCTTATATACTATGTCCTACCTTAAAAAAATCAGCAATGGGGTAATCAAGTTCAGGGCAGTCCTGGACAGCTGCCCTGTGACCTGCTTCTATTGACCCCTGCTATTCATCACTCTTCCCTAAGATAGAGAGGGCAAGCTCCCAGGGAGTGACCACCACAATAGACAGACACAAGCCAACAGTAATCTGGTTCGAGCAAAAAACAGATGGCACTGCAATAAATTTACAAATCTGCATTCATGGGGCTGTTAAAACACCCAGAAGCTAAAAGGCTCTGAGGGCCCCAGGAGGATCTCCTACTTCCCTGTTTCTAAAGGCCATTTCTCTTTCCAAGAACATTGAGTTCATGCTCTTCACAAAGAGAATGGAGATAAAACACTTTACAAAGAAGGGAAGAGAAAAAGCCTCATGACCTAATTAATCTCCAGAGCTTGGATCTCAACACTGAATGTCAGATATTAGAAAAATCATTTCAGAACACCATGAAGGTGGGGGGAAAGGTTGTTAAATTAAAGTGGGAGGGGGAAGGGGGGAAGACAACTGCTAAAACAGCAATGAAAAAAACAACATTAAATCTCTTTCAAATAGTGCACACAACAGATCTTGCAAGTAGAAAATGATTCAATAATGTATGCATTTATTTTTAAAATGAATCAGATTAGTCCCATGTGTGACCTGCTGGTCCATCTGTATGTGCTGGACTTAATAGGCACGATTCTCTCTCTTGCTTCAGTTTGAAGTATGAGAGAGATAAATTTAGTTTAATTTTCAACAGATCAGCCTATCCATTTTCCAAATGGACCATCTGGATCAGCCTATTAAAATTAATTTATAACTTTGCAGAGTGAAAATTCGTTTGTTAGCTTAAATAAAGTTGCCAAAACTTTTTGTCGTGTCATTGTTTTCTGACAGTTGTTTCTGTGTAGTGGGCAGAGTGTTTCTACTTCAATTTATCTTAATCAATATTGTCCTATTGATTTAGACGAACAGATCAGGTGTTGATTCTCCAAATAGTTAAAATTGTTAACTGTCTCAACATCAATTACTGATCTTTTTTTTTTTTTTAAAGAAAAACTTCCTGGATAATTCATTTGTTTACTAAACAATTGTTTTTATAAAAAAGGAATAGTGTTCATCTAAAAAACATTTAACATATAGTAAATTAAAAAATGAATGTGTCACAGTTTCAAGTACTTACCCTCTAAATTAATACTATATATAAACTGAAGTCAGAAGGCACAAGTAGAAATGCTTTGGAAAAACCGAGATCTGAGTATCAAATCACTAATTACCTAGACAAGTCATCTAACCTCTCTAAGCCTCCATTTTCTTCATCTATAAATTGGAAATCACATTATGTCTAAAAACTTTACAGGGTTATTGTGAGGGTTAAAGCAAATAAGCATCATGTTCATGGTGGGTGCTCAACAAATCTCCTATTTCCTAGAACAATGCCATAAATGTGAGTAAATTAGAATTATTTTTACTGCTGCTCAGGCTCATTGTATCCAATTTTGTATTAAAAATGAGTAAGGGCCAGGCATGGTGGCCCACACCTGTAATCCTAGCACTTTGGGAGGCCAAGATGGGCGGATCACCTGAGGTCAGGAGTTCGAGACCAGCCTGTCCAACATGGTGAAACCCTGTCTCTACTAAAAATACAAAAATTAGCAGGGCATGGTGGCATGCACCTGCAATCCGGGCTACTTAGGAGGCTGAGGCAGGAAAATCACTTGAACCCGGGAGGTGCAGGTTTCAATGAGCCGTGATCGCGCCACTGCACTCCAGCCTGGGCAACATGAGTGAGTCTGTCTTTAAACTAAAAACTAAACTAAAAAAATAAAATTAAATTAAAAACCGAATAGGTAGCACACTTATTCTCTGGCAACATTGTAAGAACTTGTGTTTTTTGTTTATGCCAAAGACGTTTTAGTATTTACAAGACCACAATGGTATTGAACTTTCACATGTAAAATGTGTTACCTTCTAGAGGTGGGTCACGGCAGTGAGCTAAATTTTTTTTTTTTTTTTTTTTTTGAGACAGAGTCTTGTTCCGTTGCCCAGGCTGGAGTGCAGTGGCTCGATCTCAGCTTACTGCAAACTCCGCCTCTTGGGTTCAAGCGATTCTCCTGCCTCAGCCTCCCCAGTAGCTGGGATTACAGGCACCTGCCATCATACCTGGCTAATTTTTGTATTTTTTTAGTAGAGATGGGGTTTCACCATGTTGGCCAGGTTGGTCTCCTGACCTCAGGTGATCTGCCCACCTCAGACTCCCAAAGTGCTGGGATTACAGGCGTGAACCACTGTGCTCGGCCGCAAAATGTTTTTTTAAAGTTATTATTAATAATGGCAGTTCCTTCTAGAAAAAGCAAACAAAATATTGCTCAGACTAAAAGGGCTAACTTTATTACAGGCAGATCTGTTTTGATACTTTAAAAAAAAAGTCTGAAAAATCATTAACAGGAAAATAAGAGTTAAAGTCAACTATTCTACCATCTACACTTAAGAAGCATTTAAAATTACTTTTCCCGAATAAAAACTCTTTTCTTTGAATCTGTATTCACTACACATAACCAGCTGACTGTCCTGTACATGTATACCTAGAATGTTTTTTAAACAACCAGGAAAACAATGTCACCTGATTGAAACTGATGGCTATGGCCAGGCCAACTTCAGAGTACTCTTACTATTAAGCTCCAGTGCTTAAAGAATGGCAAATCCAGGGTTTCCTATCTTTTGTTTTGTTGTTGGTAGCTTTTTATTTTAAGTAAGACTGAATTTCATACCTGTCTAAGTGAATTCTTCTCTGGTATTATCTTCCTAGGGGGTTCGCCATTATTACAGTCTTCTCTCTCTGAGGAATTCTGTGAAAGAAAGTAAGCTTTAATTCAGTTCTCATTATCTTCAATCTTATTCTGTGGGAGTAAACTGAATTACATTTCTAATTCTGTAAGCTAGAACATACATATATTTATACAATTATTCACTTGAATATTTGTATACATACAGATATTCACGTATGTAAAGGAAAACATATGTCCCTGTATATAAATAATGTAAGGATTTAGATGGGAAGTATTTTATGTATCTTTAAGCACTGTACAGGAGATCATATTCATTAGATCTCTAGCTTGCACTTTGACACAGGTTGACACTGGAAACAAGAATGTTCCAGCCCACACTTAGCTGATGACAACTAAAACCATGATTATTACCTTCTCTTTTAAATAATTAGTTTTCAATTGTAGTAAATGTATGGTTGGGACAGGTATCCAAGTCTGGGCCCTAAAAATAGTTATTTCTCTTCCCCCTCTTCTCAGATTTTATTTTCTTCAATAAACGTAGCATAGGACTTAATAAAACATTTTAGGATTAGAGTCCATTCCTTTGCACTATCACCTCAAACAGCAGCTAGAAGACCCTAAAATGTCAGTGGGGTTTTTATATACTTAGGAGGAGAAAAAACAACAAGCCAATTGAAATGAGTTCATGAGTACCAAAAATCTGCTAGTCAACATACGTAAATCACTATAAGGCAAAATACAGAAAATCCAAATTATGTAATATTTGAGTTCCATTTTCAGCAACGACATTAGTAACATTAATATTTAAAACCCTGCAGTTGTGCTCGGTACAGTAGCTCACACTTGTAACCTTGGCACTTTGGGAGACCAAGGTGGGCAGATCACCTGAAGTCAGGAGTTTGAGACCAGCCTGGACAATGTGGTAAAACCCCGTCTCTACTAAAAATACAAAATTAGTTGCATGTGGTGGTGGATGCATATAATCCCAGCTACTCGGGAGGCTGAAGCAGGAGAATCACTTGAACCTGGGAGGCGGAGGTTGCAGTGAGCCGAGATCATGCCACTGCAGGCCAGCCTGGGGGACAGATAAAGGCTCCATCTTAAAACAATAACAACAAAATTGCTGTTAATATGTTCATTACATTACATATAGTTATAACATTCTAACTGGACAGTTACTTTATTTATAAGTTCAGAAATTATTTCTAACATAAGAGTTTATCTGAAAATTTTCATACAAGCATGAAATTATTATTATACAATCATTACTGTGTTCTAAACCTATATGTAAGTTTTACTTTTTTTGGTTTGTATTAGATATTGTATTTTGAAGGATATTGAAAGATAAAAAATGTACTGTGTCATTCTGAGGCCCTTTCACCTCTGTGGCTAACAGGCCAGTACCCTAATGTGTTTCTTTTGAGCAGCAGTATCTTATGAGGTTTAACTTGATATTTTACATTTGTGATGATCCCTTATAAAAGTTCCAAAAATAAAGAAGAAAAAGTATGCTATATTACAAAGAAAGGGACAGAGAGACTCAAGAACTTCAGAGTTCTAATTTCTTCTCCTCTCTGTTTGGAAAAAAAAAAATGGAGATCATCTACCAAAAAATGGAGGAAGGCTATAGCTGAATTAATGACTACAAAGCTTGATAAATGAGGCAACTGGCAATACATGCTATGTAAGAGAATCAAACAAAGAAAGGGACAGGTCAAAAATTTAACCCATAACATGAAGTTGTATATTTAACTTTTTTTTAATGTAAAGATCAATGTTTTAAACACCAAAATTAAATGTCGTATATAATAAAAGCTTAAGTCAGTAACCAATTGTAAACTTAAAATTTCCAAGTTATTCTTTTTCAGGTCATGAAATTCCACCCTCCTTTATTTTACTTTACTTTATATTATTTTATTTTTTGAGATGGAGTCTCCCTCTGCCACCCAGGCTCACTGTGACCTCCACCTATTGGGTTCAAGTGATTCTCCTGCCTCAGCCTCCCTGAGTAGCTGGGACTACAGGTGCATGCCACCATGACCAGCTAATTTTTTTTTTTTTTTTGATAGAGATAAGGTTTCACCATGTTGGCCAGGCTGGTCTTGAACTCTTGATGTCAGGTGATCTGCCTACCTCGGCCTCCCAAAGTGCTGGGATTATAGGCGTGAGCCACAATGCCCAGTCCCACCCTCCTTTAAATAAAAACCGCATCAGATAATATAAACCTGTTTAATTCAGTGTAAGATCCTGTATTTCAAAATTAATTATGTTTTTTGAAATGTTATCATATAACTTGAGAGCCTAATTACTTTTTGTTGGAAGTTTGTTGTACTAAAGATATTATAACTCACATTTTTATTCTATAGGTACTCAGGTAGATACACAATTGCTGGCAAACTCTTCCATACTGAATGATAAAGTGAAAAATAATGATCTCAACCTAACAGCATGAGTAGTGACTATCTAGTCCATATCCAGTTTTCTTCTTCCTGACCCTCTATTTTATCAGATTTAGATGGATAACCACTGGTGGATATTATGAAAATGTCTAAAGAATGAAAACACAAAGGGAGCTTAAAGGGTGTTACTGATGGAACACAGAGCTCCTTAGGAGTTCCTCTCCCCTTTCTATCCCATTAGGGCAAAGAATATTTACGTGGTATTGTTAAAAATAACTCTTAAGCAAAAAAAGGGAGGAACCCACAAACATTGGTATAGCTTGTTCTTTTAATATAGGTTAACCCAACACTTTTACCCTGGGTCATCCATCATGAGAAATCAAATCAAACAAAAAATCCAACTTTGTCGTTACAAAAAATAGAAGTAGGTACATTAAACAGTCATGATATCAGGAACAAGGATTAGGTACTCTCCTAATACTGAAGAGTAAAAGTAGAATGCCAGTTAATAAGGTGACTAGGTCTACAGTCTTGAGGGTAAAGGTTAATGATGAAATAGCCATGTGTACCTAAGTTGTCACCGCAATAGTTCTCAAAGCCTGTCCAAAATCACCCAGCAGAGCTCAGCAACACTGTTATTTCTTGCATTTTTCTCTATAGAGGATTCCCAAGAAGCTATGTGCATAATTTTCCTAGGTCACCAAGCTAAATTCCATTTAAGGATAAGTGATTAATATAAGCAAAGAGTCATCAATGGATGCTAAAATTAGCAAGTAAGCCCAGTGCTGTGGCATGTGCCTGTAATCCCAGCTACTCAGGAGGTGGAGGCAGAGTGAGTACTTGAGCCCAGGAGTTTGAGAGCAGCCTGGGCATCACAAGCAAGATACCAGCTCAAAAACATAAGTAAAATTTAAGACTGGAATAACTGAGTGAAAGTTTGACAAATAGCAGGATAGTCCAATAATCTAAAAATATTTTTTCTATAAGATACTTAATAATTACAAATGAAAAAAGAATAACCTCAAAGTGGAGAAAACCGGCAGAGGCCACCTTAACATTATGTGCCTTTTGATATGATGTACTGGAAACAGCACATCACTTGTGAGATATCCTTGTCAAAACCACAAAACTTAAATCTACTTATAAGAAAACATCAGGTTAACCCCAAAATGAGGGTCATTCCATAAAGTTACTAGTCTTTACCTAAGAAATGTCATGGCTATGAAATAGACTAAGAAATTGCTTCAGATTAAAGGAAACTAAAAAGGTACAACCCACACTCTTGGGGTAATTGGAAAATTTTTACTAAGATCTGTAGATGAACTAATAACACTGTACAATATTAATTCCTGATTGTATCCCCACTGTTAAAATTTACATACAGAAAAATTCACCTTTTTGGGTATATATTTCTGTAAATTTTGACAAACACATAGTTGTATAAGTACCACCACCATTAAAAAATGAAAACTTCCATCACTCCCAAAATACCTTGAAATTCTCCTTAATAGTCAACAGTCTCCCCACTGAAAATCATTGATTTGTTGGCTAAATAATTTTTGCCATTTTCAGAATGTCATATAAATGGAATTATATCATGTGTAACCTTTGAATCTGGCTTTTATCACTTAGCATAAAATATCTGAGATCCATTCATGTTGTTGCAAATACCAGTATTGCTTTTCCTTTTATTGCCAAGTAGTATTATCTACTACTTGGCTGCGCCATAGTTTTGTTTATCCATTCAATTTCCTGATTTTGATCATTTGTGATTATTTTTATTAAAATGTCTCTTTTTCGGAAACATGCACTGAAACATTTAGGGGGAACGGAACATTATGTCTATAACTTTCAAATGGTTTGGAAAAAATAATACAAAAATGGATATATGTGAGTGTGTATATGTATTTATAAACAGATATAATGCAAATGTGGTAACATGTTAACATTAGGTGAATCTATGTGAAAGGGTGTAAGGAGATTCTTTGTGCTATTCTTTCCATTTGACTATAAATCTGAAGTTATGTCAAAATAAAAATTAAATAATAAATTAAATCCATAATTAAATGTTAAGAAATGAGAGAAAAGTTAGATAAGTAAAAAATAAGTGTTAGGGGAAAAATTCCATCAAATGTAATTAGCATTATATTCTATTGCTTAATTTTAAACCAACCCTAAGCAAACCTAACTGCTCAGAACAACAGAATCCCAATACTCAGATGGAAAGTTTCATTGTAGTAAATAAATTGTAGAATGTGTTTTGAGTCTTCAAATAATAATATTCTATGAATAGCAGCTTTACAGTAGTCCCCCCTTACTCAGTTTCACTCACGTAATTTCAGTTACTACAGTCAACCGAGGTCCTAAAATGTTCTAGAAATCGTTTTCAATTGTGCACCTTTCTGAGTAGCCCTGTCCTGCCCAGGATGTGAATTATCCCTCTGTCCTGTGTATCCACACTGTACATGCTACTTGACCATGAATCATTGACATTGTCTGCTCCTGACAACCCACCACCATCTTCATGGCTCAATAATCCAGGATCACCTGAAGCAGATGATCCTCCCTCTGGCATACTGTCAAAGGGTCAATAGTAACCTTATGCTGTGTCACAATGCCTAGGTCATTTACTTCACTTCATTTCATCACATAGGCATTTTA